CTGCAATACATAATAGGCATTTACAGAAAGATCTTAAATGCAAATGTACCATAATGGTAGGACCAGTGGCAAGAGGTCATAAAGTTTCTCATTCTGAAAGGTTAATGCAGATGTTATACTGAATACATCTGAGGACAAGAAGGAAATCAAAAGGTACTTTTACTGATCATAGAATTTCAAAGCATTTCTATCTATAAGTTTCTGCCCAGAGGGTTTGAGTGGATACAGGATGGCTGGATTAGCGTTAAAACAGAAATGTAGTAGAAGAAACATGTACCTGAAACATGTACCCAAATAAGAAAATTTGTATTATCAGGTAATTTGAAAAAGGCCTTGCTTAGTCAGTTTCCTTTGCGTTCTGTAATGCTTCAAATGTGGGATGCCTTAGATGACAATATCAGGGAGGTATAAACGTCTGGTTGAACTAGATAATATACCATAACTGCTGATTCAGATGTTCAGTGGCTTTTGTGTACCACATGTATCAATAAGTGGTGGATGCAAGAAGCGACCACAACTGGAGGATTCGAGGGTCCCACTTCCCTATGCTAATATACTAAGTTATGTGAGAATGTAAAAAATGCTGTAGAGAGTTGTTCAGTTTAGAGTTTTATTCTACATTTTTTTTATTTTTTATCAATTTTAACCAAATTTTCTTGCATTATCAGACAAACCCCTGTTCATAGTTAATAGTGATTTTGTGATACGGTTGGCTGTCCTTCTTGAGAGTAAAGCTGTCTAGTATTGTTGATGAAAAGAGCAAACCAATGTACATTCCATCAATTTGTATATGTAAATAAATACATTTTATCATTTAGCCACATACTTGTTTGATTGTGACAAAGCAACTAACACTGAAATAAAGTCCTCTATTTTTAAGATCTGTTGTAAGGTTGTGTAGAATTTGAATAGAGAACCTTGTCATTGTTGGAGGAAAAAAAGTCGAGGTCCAGGCCAGAGACTAAGTCTAGACCTCTTCACCAACACTTAACTTTCAACAAAACTGCACTTTTACTCGAGTCAAAAAAGATTAAAAAAATAAGTCACTGGAGATGGTCAGAGTCCAGTGCAATAGAATTTATTCTTTCACAAGAATAAAGGCGAGATCAGATACCAATCTGAACTGAAGACAGAGAGCCTGTGCACATTCATACTGTATATAGTTCTTTGTTAGGTGGGTTCTCCACCTATTTTCTAAAGTGAACCTATTACCGCCTTGGGAGCAATGATGTCTAGCCCCGTGTGGAATTCCCCAAACCAGGCCTGCCAGGCCACCCTATCTAAGACTCCTTAGGCGTGTAGTAGGACCAGGCGTCCAAAAGACCCTCCACCTCCTTAAACCTAAGGCCCTCATCTATCCTCAAAATGGGCCTTGCCACGACTGCTACTCCAACACCATTGCTCCCAGGGCCTTCAGACCATTCTTTTTTAACTTTATTCCCTCCAGGTTCCATTCTGTAACAATCTTATTTCAGTAAAGGCTGCTTCACATACAAATCTAACCTGAGTTGTGAGTATAGCTATTCCATTGGATTATATAAGTTTAACATTCAGTATATTTATAATGCATAGTATATTTTAGTCATCATTCAGAAAAGCTTCTGTTACTGCTATGTGGGTATCATAGACTGTATATAAAGATGGACGTAGCCTCTGTGACTTCACCCATAGGTTTCTGAAGAGCAGTTTAGAAGTTCAGAGTGGGCTGCTCCATCGTCGCCATCTTGGCAGTGCCTGGCTCCGCCTAACTCCTGACTAATCCAGAAATGGACAAAGAGGTGGGGCATCTTTGTAGCCGGTTCTTTCGGTTTATCAATTATGCATCACTTTAAGCCTTAATAAACTTTAAACTAATGCAAAAATTCACCCTCTGTACAGATGACATGAAGGGGGGAAATATCTATAGCTGCAGTTTTTTGTATCAGGCTGTAAACATGTTTATTTCTATTGTATGGTTGGGAATAGTAACATGGGAGCCTATGGGGATTGACTCGCTCTGGGAGTCAGTCTGTGGTCATTTGAGGAACTGCAGTTTTTTAGCTTCATTTTTCACCCCCAGAGGTTGCCACTTGGTGGGTATCAGCAGCAGTAAGTCAGGCATTTAAAGGGGCTATTTGTAAGTTTTCTCTGCCTGTTTCTTGCTGGGAGCAGGTGGTGGTGATGGTTACTGTTCAGCAATAGCCATCATTGTGTTTAAAATACAAGAGGATATAATACACCACCTCTGAACACAATACGTCTGGACACTACAATGATTCACTATCAGATAGTGATGAAACAGGCTGGCCAGGCTGGGGCTACCTAGTTAACATGTTGACTAAGTATCTCCAGCTAGAAGAAAAGAAGTGATAGAATCAGAAAGCAAAACAAGAGTTAACACTGGTGGCTTTTTACCATTGGCGACAGCATCTGGTGAGTAAAGGTGTGAAGTTTGATGCTGAACTTGCATTGATTTTTCTAGACTGGTAAGTAAAACTACTAATTAAGCTGTTAATGCTAACATTGGCTATGTAGCAATAGCAAAAACTTAAAAAATAGCTCCTATAAGTAAAAGGAAAGATTTTTCAGTAAACCATAAAACTCTTTGGTGTTTAGGGAAAATGAGTGCCAGCTTCAGTGTGTTATAGGATAGGCTTCCTGAAATACCCTCATCAAAAATGATCCAAAAAGTTTACAAGAAATACATCCTGTACATATGACCAAGAAGCTGTTACATTTACCTTTAAAAGGTTGACTTGACATTTGTGGCAGGACCTCTTACTCCGTGCTATTACATGTAAGGCCATAACCGCATCCTGTCACTGCAGTGAAACAAAGCAGTCTATAGGTGTACTTTCCACATATGGCTTTGACCAGAAAACATAAGAGAAAGGAAGCATAAGAGAGTGAATGAAGGTGTACTTAGAGTATGCAAACTTTTAACCATAATATGACTTGCATGGAAAACACTAATCAGATAACTTCAGAGTTTGAAACCAAACATTTTGACTCCAAACCGCTTTTCACCCCACACCTGCCTACACTTCTAAAAGTACCTTGTGAATGTCAAAGTTTCCGCTCATGCTTTTACAGAAAACAGCTTCTGACAAATTCTGTAAAAGCTCAAAAACATGAGAAGTAAGTAATGAAACCTCATTTCAAGTTAACTCTTTAATTACTTTACCTTTGATCAGCAGCACCTGCTGGTATTGGTTCATTAAACTTGATACTGGGTCCTCTCAGAGGTTACATCAAAACAGCTCATCTGTACATGTGGCTTCACAGTAAAAATGATATATCCTCGTTTTTGTAAACATGATTCACAGTGCCTATTGGCCATGTAAAACGGTGGCAGATTGTTATCTCTTACTGTGGCATATAGTATTTTTGTACCCCAGGTTCTGACATACCTTATCATTTTGTGTTTCCTGTCGCAAGTTATGACAGGTATAGAGACTGCTTCAGTTGCACAATCCAGAGTTTCCTGCACTTCGTCTGTATCAGTACAAATGGGAGGATTAAATGGAACATTTAAGTTGAACTCTAGCTGAGAATAACTGATGTTGTGGTGTAGACAGTCTTGGCTTCTTGGGGTTGTAAGTCTGCTTGAATAGTTTTTCTTGTAAAAGAGGTCTCAGTTTCCATTTGTGCATTGCCACTCACCTTAAAACAGTTTCCATTTCTTGCTGGACTACAAAGTGCTGTAAGTGCATCCCCTTCACACAGACACACACACAGCAACCGAGCACTCGCACTAGTGTATTCTTACCCCACAAACGTGTAAACACACAATTCACACTTCTATGTTTCGGCCGATCTTTGCTGCTTTGTCAAGGGGAAAAAAGTCACAGCTTGTGACCACACAGACTCACCGCACAAGTAAACACTCGCTTTTTTGCATGCTTTGCATTTGCCCCTTTTTTTCTGCCTGACATTTTAATGTTGACTCATACCGTGTCTCTTGGCCCTGAAGAAGGATGAAACTTGTCTTGACTTATGTTGTTTGCACTGTTCCTTGATTTACAGTGTTTGCATAAGCGAACACATGCACTAGGCTCAACTTGGCACAGGTAATAAATTATTGTACTGTTTTTCAAGAGCTTGTTTCTTCAAATGAGGTTCAACATCGACTGTGACTTGTAAGAAAAAAAGCATTAAAAAAGATTTTAACTATTTGAATTTGAACAACTTTCTAAATTCTCATGAGTTATAGTAAAAGAAGCAGCGTGTCAGGCTTTACTGAATTAACTTCAAACACCACAGTCACAGATAGACCCCTTTGTGGTATGTGGGATGTTGGTGGCTGACAGTAAGTCAGTGGAAGTAGAAGTTTGCAGTATAACCTACAGATGTTGCACCAACTGTTCGCCATTTCATTTATTCACATAATCCCAGTGCAGTTTTGCTGCTAATCAAGTCTGAAGTTGAGACTGACAGAGAAGTCTGAGCTTTCCTCAGAATTAGAAAACTTCATGATTCCTATGCATAAATCCAGCATTACTATCTGCTAGAGAGTGAATGTTTTTATGGTCAACTCAAACTATGTGTCTGATTAACCCCTTGACTGTACAGATTGAACAAAGGGTCATTCCTTCTAATCTGGTGCACCCTGGTTTTAAATATTTTCATAATAAGATCACTCAGACTTCCAAACATTCTTCTCCATTACTTTCAGGATATAATACCAAAGAATTTACTTTCTTAATTTCCTGTTAACCTTGTATTTCCTTTTCAGTAATTTGAACGTGATTTTAAACTTTTAACTGATTTCACATAATTCGATTCCCTTTATCTTTTCTTTCTTTTTCTTTTTGTTGTTTCATCATGACATGATCATTAAAATAAGAATATCCACACATCCTGTTATATATCATGTGAGTAACGCTTTAACCCCCTGTATTTAGCATTTATAAGCAATATACAAACATTAAGTGGTTTATAACACACTATAATGTAGTTTTAAGGTGATTTGTAGGTTGGGGTCATCTATATACAGTATTTACAGCACTAAATAAAAAGGCTGATTATGTTAAACATTGCTACACATCTCTCAAATTTATTGTTTTATATATGTAGATGGAAAATTACAGTTATTACTGTTACAGTCCATAGTATCTATATATACTGTACATATGGCATTCAAATGAACCCCACTTTTATTAATTCAATAAATCATCTGCAATGCTGTTATAAACTTTGTACAAAACTATAAGAAATTACTGAAATTAGAGGAAAGATATTTACATTAAAAATACATTGCATCAAAAGATACATTCCAGTTTAGATTTTTTGCCACTCAAAGACTATTTTCAAAGTTGTGGAGTTGTGTTATGTAATTTTATACATCATGCCAAACCATTTCTACATAATCTTAAGTGGCAATCCAGCTTATCTCATGTTGTACCTTTTTGCAAATCACACACCTTCTTGTCTTAAGTGACTTTCACCGACATACACTCAGACACACACGGACCTGAAGAGATAACAGATCATGTTGGAGAACATGGTGAGTTGCCACAGTGCTTCACATGCATCACTTGTACCTCAGTGGTGGTGCAGAGTTTAAGGATATGGAGTTTCAGGTTGCTTGCTTGCAGGCAGACATCTTCAGTGTCTGAGCGTTCCACGCATTTCTTCATAAACATCATTGGTGGTGACACGTGTCGGTTTCACTGTAGAGTGTAACTTCTTGGTCTGGTAACAACAGAAATTGTTGTCAACATGTGATCATACAATAAGTAGGGCTTCAGTTTGTTGTTTGCTTTTCTCTCAGGTCATACTTTACCTTTGTAATATTACAACTTGTTTTGGAAACATTTTAAAGTGACATTTTCACATTCTATATTTTTCTACATTTTCTGGTCAGGCGTGTTTTAAAAGTTCATAATATCACATATCTGACGTGTTTAAATGTGAACTGACACCAGTAATGCAGTCTAATACATTAGCCTTGCAATAATTTCTATCTTCATGAAGACTGATTTTATAATGTTCAGTTTTTATTGAAAAGGTTTTAGAGAGCTGTATGAGGTGTATGAATAACTGTTGAATAACTGCTTTATTCTGACAGATGGTTCTATTATTTTGTATATCCCAATGTGTATCCCAATATGTATGTGTACACAAATAATAGTGTGTTATACACAGAGGTGGAAAATAACGAAATACATTTACTCACGTTACTGTATTTTTTGTGTATTTTGTATTTTTTAAGTACAATTTAAAATCGGTATTTTGTATTTTACTCGAGTACGTTTTGAATCAAGTATTGTACTTAGTTACTTTATAAATCCTATCCGTTACTGAGTAAAAATAAAAATCACAATTATAATAACAATTCAACCTACAGGGGAAAAATACGCGCCAGAACCATAGACAGTAAACCAATGGCCAGAACCAACAGTGACAAATGATGATGTGATTAGCACTGGCGCGTGAACATAGAGGGCGCGCGCGGACAACACTTGTTCTTTAATTAAAAACAAAATAGTTTTGGATTTCTGACCCCTTGTCCTATTTTTACTACCCTCACACCCCACACAAAGAAAGTAACTAAGTAACTTTTACTTAAAGTACATTTCAAATGAACTACTTTTTACTTTTACTTGAGAACATTTTCAGATGAGTACTTTTACTTCTACTTGAGTAATATTTCATCAAAGTATTGGTACTTTTACTTGAGTACAATATTTTTGTACTTTTTCCACCTCTGGTTATACAGAAACAGAGTTCAGATTCTGTTTTTGATGAGTACTGTTGAACATAACAGGAAAATGTTGTGTTAAGAATAACAGGAACATGGAAACAGCCCCTGAGATTCCATCATGTCTTGTGAGTCAAAGCAAGAGTACAATCAAACAACAAAAGAGAAACACACGCACACACACATTAAATCGGGAAATACCTCAATTAAATACCTTAATGAAGATCCATGTGAGGGCGATCACGATGAAGCAGAGCAGCACAGCAACAGAGACCACAACACACACCAGGACCAGATTCACATGTACTTTTTCACACTCCTGCTTTGCAGTGCCAGGTGAAGGAGATGGATTTGCAAATGCAGACCTCTCATCTAGACATCAAGTTGGGTTATTACCAAATTGTTTTCCAAGTTACATTATGATAACAAACACATGTTTGCTGTCTGGTTTATGGTCAGAGGAAAAGTTATTTTGAATGAATGAAGCCCATTATTTATGAATTGCACCCTAATGCCATCCTTTTGTTGTGAGTAGAGTTGTGAGTGCATAAACATAGCCTAAGAATGAAATGCTTAATAACACTGCGGTGACCAGAAATGCATATTGTACTGCAATATCAGATATGCTGGTGTAAAAAATATATTTTTAAAATCAATTATCAACATTTTTGCAACTCACCAAATATGTAACAACATTTCACTGTTATGTTAATAGATAAATATATATACATTTATTAACACACAGACTTAAGCAGTAAAGGTTTAATGTTTATCTCTTTTTCTTTTGCACCCTAATGTTATTGTTTGTGGCACTGGAATTGTTGGGGAGTATTTCGTTTGCCAATTGCTCCAGTGGTTTTCCATTTCGAGTGAAATTCTTGCACTTCCCTAATACAACAGTGTTTCAGAGGAATTAGACATTTTCAAGCTTAAGCAGAAGTTTACAGCTTCTGCAACACTCTTCTGTTGATCATTTTATACCTGTCACCTTTGAATTTGAATACCTTTGAATACCTTTGAATTTCTTACATCAGTAGCTTACAGTTACAATGCACAGTTGACCCACTTTGTAAAGCGCATGTTGCGCTGCCACATGCTTGTTGAATGAATCATTGTTATATTGGCATTGAGAAGAAAGTGTGTCCAACTAAATGATAGCAAGGTTCATTTTTTAAGCTCCATAGTTTTTGTGGCAAAATAAAAAAACTTATGAGGCCCACCTGTCACCACCAGGAGTACAGATCCATTGCTTTCCAAAACTTTGGTACTGGCGGATTTGAACTCAAACCTTTTGAAGATGCACCAGTAGGGCCCTGTGTCAGCAGAGGTCAAGTTTTTGATGAGAAAGTCCATGTTGGGAAATGCTCCATTTAGCTGAAATCTGTTTGTGACTTCTTTGGCAATGTTGTCTTTATTTGAATCTTGGTTCTTATAAAAGATTTGAACCTCCTGACTGAGACCCTTGTTCAAAAACACAGAAGTGGCTCTTTGAGAGGTCCTGCACTGGATAGTGATGTCTTCTCCAGGTTTTCTCCATACCACTCCATCTCTTCCTACATATATAAACAGAAACAACAACTAGTACAGTTATCCAATTTCATCTCAATTTACTCTTGATAAAACTTTCACATATATACAGTTCATACATTTGTACTGTAATTACTTGAAAACAAAATTGCTTCATTTTTTGTCATCAAACATGTAATCAGCCTTACCTTGGTCACTCAGGACTGTGCAGGTGAGACAAAGGATGGTTAGGAGCTTTATCCAAGCAGCAGACATGCTGACGGTGCAAGGTTTCCTTGAGTTCTATCTTCAGGAGGAAATGTGTGTCTTGTCATCTGCACTAAAGGTAGCATGTGACTCTAAAAAGGATGTGACAGCAGAACCAGATTTAGCCATGCAGGAAGTAACTGAAGTGTTAACAAAGGGTGAAAGGCCTCCTTTGCAGCAACTGCGCTTTGAGGTTGCAAAAGAGCAGACATATTTGAAAACTAATCAAATATGTTTTTTTTTTTCTACGGTGAAAAGAAGAGCTTTTATTTAAGCTGTCACAATAATAAAACAAAAAAAATCCCAGGACAGACTGTGTATTGATAAACATAACTGTAGAATATCTATTTTATTCCACAGTAGAGTATTTTATGTAGATATGCTCATGTGCAGACAGTAACAGAGAGAATGCCAGACAGTGCCATGTTTCAGATATGGGTGGAGAAACTACTTCACTGGCTCCAGCTGTTGCACAAAACAATACTCGTATAAAACAAAAGTAAAGACAGCCTGCAGACCACAGACATGCTGACACTGAGAATAATATAAATGTCACATGTCAACTAAGTTCTTAAAAGGAAGTGGGATTGTGTTACCACTGGGATTCAGTTTCAGCTAATTTGTGAAATTCTGTGCATTGCAATGTGAGAGTGGTAATTCTAATCTGAATGAAATAAAACAAATAAAGTGATTATAATAATAATAATCTAGCATGACACAGTCACACACACACACAAAAAAAACTTTCTCCAACACATTTTTTCTGAACGAACATGAACCATCTAAAACATCAGGCACATGGAAAGGCATTGTCATTAGTTGATATTTTTTTCCAGTTTGTTTCTGTCAGACACCTGTTTTGCAGTGCCCCCTAGTGGCTGGAGAATAAACATGTCTGTCAACCTTTTACAGTAGATGAAGGATGTGTACAGGATCTTAGCAGTATTTAAACATTTAATAATAATGATAACACGCTATAATGTAGTCGTGAGCAGAGGAAAGTATTTATTAATGCATTTATCGGCAAATGTCACCTATGAGTTGAGGCTGGTGTATAAACAAGTGAAGAATGACAATTTTAAAACATAGTTGTAATAATGCAAAGTATGTCTTCACAGGAGAAGATATGATTGTTAACAAATACTGTGTATTATAAAACACATACAAACCGCCTTAAAACTACATATATTGTGTTACAAACCACTTATTGTTTATATAGTATAAAGTGTCGCTGATAATATAAACTGCATTGCTGGCTCAGTACATACATACAAAATAAAACAATACTCAGTTATATGAAAACAACAATGTTCTGTTCACACTGTCAACGGTTTTATACAAACTATTTTGTTGGTAGAATGTACTTAAGTTTAATTCCAAAATAAAGAAAGGAATAACAAAATGTGACTGAAGGACTGACGTTTATGAGCGAAGAACAAGCTCTTGCAGTGAAAACCTCCACAGAAGCTTCTTTATAAACCAGAACCTGAGATTTGTGGCAGTGTGCAGCAGACAGTGTAACTGAATGTCCTTGGAAACCTGTTTCCTCACCACTCCAGAGCGCACGGTAAACCATGAAAACCACTGACAAAAACTACAGTGATGGTGGTAATGTTGCAGCTAGGCTGTTGACAAAAACAAGTCATCAGTCCCACAACACCCTAATAAACTGATCAAACCTTATTATCTGTTCCCCATTCTTTGTATAAATCCAGAGATGACAATACTTATATACTGAGGTTGTAGCTCCTAAACTTTGGAACAGCCTTCCTCTTTCCATCAGATCTGCTGAATCTGAGTTTTAAAAGGCTGCTTTTAAACTCTTATAGGTTATCCTTTTTTATAAATACTCTATTGCCTTTCGTTTAGTTTACTTAACTCTTGACATAGTTGGTAGTTGAGAGTTGGTATTGAAACAAAAATATCCAACCGTATTGTCAGAGGACAGGTGGGGCATTGATGACATATTAAAATCACAATCATGTACCTACAGCTGACAAGGCAGAAGTACACACGATAACCAAAGTAGACTGAAACTGAGATGACCTCAACAAACTCCATTAAGTTGTCACTGTCCTGGGAGAATTGTAAACACAACATCAATAACATCAATATGGGCTTTTACAGTCTTTGGAGATAAATAAGAACCCCACCCCCGCTGTCTCTGCCTCACTCTGGGACAGAATGAAAAAGTCCCAGTGCATCCCACTGCTCTTTGCTCCATTAGTTCCCTTCCTCCAGTCTCATTCAGTTAAGGAGGTACAAAGTGAGCTGGAGCAGACGCTGCAAGGAGGGCCTTTTACGCTGCCTTTGTCGCTACGGAAACGGCCCTGTCCATTTGCCAACCAGTGCTTCCTGTGTAGTGCTCCTGGTGGGTGGGTGGGAGGCGTTACATTTTTGAGACTGCAGGATAATCAAGAGGATCTGTCTCTGGTCACAGAGAGGAGAGGAAGACCACAAAAATAGATTGGAAGAATATTTAATCATTTTATTTTTTGCTTAATACAGACAATACAGCATATTTTACCCTGCTGTTTTCTGCATGGTGTTAGGATACTGAGCAACCTATTTAGCAGCGTATTTCCTTCGATCCCACTTTAGCCTGCCCAGAGTAGTTGCTGAGTCAGTGTGGTATGACTGAATCGGGGTATTGATTGACTGATTGTTTGCCATGTCTCACAGAGATGACTCACCTCATTTCCCCAATTCGTTTCCACACTGGCATATCCTTTTCCTCCTCAGAGATCTCTCGGGACACACATGGCCTCATCTGGAGGGCGCGTGGTATAATGGCCCTGTCAATACACTGAAGTCGCAAATGAGCAAGGACGCTTAAACATTCAGCTCAGACATCAGTTAAATAACTTGGCATATGGCTGTGGGGGAGGAAAATGGTAATCTCCCATCTTTCTTGAAAGATTAGCAGGATCGTCAATAGGGATAGAATAGAGAGTCTGGTTTTACTGATTCACTGACCAGGACAAGAGAGCAAACTGCTGTGTTGCATTTGCAGCCAAATAATGCAATTGTCCACCCAACATTTTGACCTAAAATTGAACACTGGGTATCACTGGTAGATTTTTTACTTAAGTAGAAGTAGCAATACCACAATTTAGAAATAGTCAGCTACAAGTAAAACTGCAGCATTCAAAACATTACTTAAGTAAGGGCACACACATGTTATTAGGAAAATGAAGCTAAAGTGCAAAAGTGAAATTACTCACTAAACAGCAAAAATGGGTTTGTCATTGTTACATTATTATATGTTATACTGTTGGATTATTATTATAGTGGATTAACATGTATGTGACATTTTAATATTGTAGCCAGCTGCACTTCTGTATATCTTCAGCTGCAATGTAACTAGTATTTACAGCTGCCAAATAAATATAGTGGAGTAAATGTATAAAGTATCTTAAAATTAAGGCACTAAAGTGAAGTATAAGTACTTCAAATTTGTTCTTAAGTACAGTACTTGATAAAATATACTTGATTATTAAACACACATACAGGTAGATCATATGTACAGCAGATGCAGACCGAGGAAAGCACCAGAGATCCAGCCTGACTCTGTGTCCTAAGGTAATAATAAAAGACACAGGATTTTCCCTGTGGGTACAGCGCTTACAGAAAACAAGCCTTCATTGACTGCTCTCCAACATCCTGGCATTTCTCCAGGGCAGGAAGTTCTTTTCCTGATCTTGAGTGACCTCTGCATGCCTTACACTGCAGATGAGGGCCGAAACACACCACTGTGCCACAGCACTCTTCACAGGCTGCTCAAGGTTTGGATCTGAAGGAGTTCGAGTTGTAGCTCAGGAGGCAGAAACAGAGAGAAAAGCCACTGGAACTATTCTGACAGTAATTTTTTTTTGATTGAGACCTTTGTGGCTGGTATGCAGACAAAAGGAGCTAGCACAATATATTTTAAGGATACCATTTAGTTAAACACAAGTTGAGCACAATATGAAAACTGTCAGAGAAATATCAAACTCAGATCAGCACAACCTGTCAAATTATTTCTTGCTGTCAATTCCCTTTAACTTCTAAAATCCTTGAGTCAATGAAGATAAGATTTGTCATGGCTTAGCTTCAGAGAACTATCCCACTGTGATGATCTGCCTTCTAGACCCCTTCAGCTGTACAGTAAGAGGCTTACAAATAGTCATCAAGTCAATACACCACCATTCACAGAAAAACTATGGCGCAAAGACAAGAGGAGTTAAAGTCCAAGTGATCGCAAGGTCATGTATAATTAGATGTGCTCTTCATACATGTAGGTAAATCTGCTGACAGTGTTGAGGTATATTGTGAGCCCTAGTTCATCTTGTTTAAATACGGCTTATTAATTTGAGGACTGCACTGAGGTCAAATTTTATTTTATTTATTTCTATGACCATTGGAATGTCCAAATTACACTGAATGACTTGTGTACTGGCTGTTACTAATACCAGTGACCTCTCAATTTTGCTATTACAGTATCCATGCTGTTAAAAAGCCGTATGTTAATTACGATATATGGAGCTATTACTCTAGCTGTCGAATATATGCATCAAGATGAGCAATATAGACAGAATAAATGCATCAGCTGTAGGTAATATGTCCAAAATATCCCTTTTTGTACCTCACATAAGAGCAGAACAAAGCCCTTCACTAACATTAACTTTTTTTTAACTTTAAGCCCAACAGGTCTAACAAAAATCAAAACAGGAACTGGTTGGGAGTTATTGTACTGCATCCTCTTTGTATGTTCCCAATGGTACTTCAGAAGGAAGTGCTCAGATTAAGACAAGCATTCCCAAATAAAGCAATCTGTAGGAGTGCTATCAAAGGTAACGTTTCATAAGTAACATTACATCTTGTATGAATCACATTTCACCTTTTGAATCTGACTTGTTTAAAAAAGCCTAACTCTGAGTGTGAACAAAATGCATCTCCTCTCTTAAATCAGAAACACTGTAAAGACAGCCAAATAACCAGTGTATGATGTCATGAAAAGATAGGGCAGTTTCTCTTTTGACAGAACTGGCGGCAGCTTTCATGATTACTTTGGCTGGGCAGATTTCCAGTCCC